GTGGCGGAAGGAGAGCAAAGAAAAAAAGTGATGGGAAAGGGGAGGGGTAGGGAAAGCAAAGGAAGAAAGAGGAAGGAAAAGGAAGCAAAGAAAGAAGAGTGAGGGGGAGGGCTAGGGCATGCAAAGGAAGAGAGAGGTTTCATGGTTCTAATAAAAGTTCCAGTACTATCCAGTAAATATCTGGCAAACGTTTACCAGGTACTGCTGGATGTCTATATTTTACCAGATATCCAATACCAGCATCACAATCTGACACATGCCTAATACAGACATTGATTGATTCGACATACCATTAGTCACAGCATCTGTACTGTCATCCTCAATATCTCCAGAGTAAAGTTTAACCTCAGAACATCGTCCATAAACATCAAGCACAACGTAAACCTGCTTGGGTACATCTTTGGCAGCACACCCCATATCTTTACCATTGACGAAAAAATGTAATTCCCCACCCTCCAATAACATAACCCCTACCCTATCCCCGATTCCCAGCTCCTCCAGATTTCCCATATAATCATCACGTATAGATAACCCATCTTTCAATACACTGCTCCCAGCTAGCACCCAAGTCCCATTTCGCAAATGAGATATGCTAGCAGGAATCGGGTCAAAGTCACTAGGATCGCATTTCGTCACTCCTATTGCCAAAGACCCCGACCATAGAGTCATTTTCTTCTCAATTACGACTTCGAATAGCGTTTTTTCTGGTAGTACTGTTTTGCTGAATACCAAAGCATTGTCGAATTCCGATTCTGGCTTCGTTCGAGCTGCCCTTCGTCTGCGATTGCTAAAAATAATTCCACTTCCACATTTTTCGTGCAACTCAAAACACGACGCCATATTTGTTTTGATATTCACAAACATTTTAATTAATGCGCATATTTCCAACTTACCGTCGCTGGCGCCTAAGTGTGTACATATGAACAGATCCAAAGTTAAAAGTAGAATTAGAACTATTACGCTTTTCACCTGTATTTCTCACTGAATAATTATGGGAAATATAATAATATTGACATCCATTACGATTAAGCCATTTTGAGCTCGTCCCGGTTCACGATTATTAAGTGATCGGAATATTTCATTATCTTTTCATAGTTTTGAAAATCCTATTGTTCTCCATGTCTGGTTACCCATTTTTTCATGGTGATTGCTAGAAAGTATACTTCAAAATAAGGTTTCCTTTTTTATAACGTAGAAAAAACTATCCTAACGCAAAACTAAACCCTAACCCTAATACTAACCCGAACCCTAACCACAATCCTAACATAACCCTAACCTAACCCTAACTTATTTAAAAAATTGATATAAAAACGGAAACCTTATTTTGAAGTATACTACCTAGCAATTGCCATTTTTTTCATTTCTGCAAAGCATTTCAGCAAAGTATAGTTGCATGACGCTTAGCTCAAAAAAGGTACCTAAAAGTTCAGGACAGCTAAGATCAGCTAAAGTTTAGTCCATTGGCAGTTTAGTAGTGTAATAAGATGTCCAGGTTTAAGATTATCTGATTAGAGTTTAACAGGATTAGGGCAAGAATTACGCAGAGGATAGTCACACTAATTAGCTAATTAATTAAGGTAATTAAAGAACAGCCACCAAATTTTTCAAGATTAATTTGGCGGAAAATTTTTGTCTCGCCAAAAATTACGGCTGAAATTAATAAGAAGTAAACATTGAAAAAGAATAAAATATTTTAAATATGGCAATGGACAAAAGGCATAAGCGAGTTTTGCAACAAAACACGGTGCGATTAACCGATGATTTGGAACCGATCAATCTTCTAGGATACCTCTATCAAGAGGGAGCTATACTAGAAGACGATATGGATAGAATTCGCAGCAAATTGACGCGAAAATTGCAAGCAGAGGAGTTACTTCGCATTATACCAAAGCGAGGAGCCAAGGCTTTCGATCGGTTCTGTGATGTGCTTTATAAAATTGACGGCCAAAGGCATTTGGCGAAGATGTTAAAAGAAGACATTGAAAGCTCAAAGGGTATGGGGAGGGAATTATATACTTAATGCGATTAATTTAGAATTTCACCCCCCGCCCACTGCACAATCAAGAACATGATAAAATTCTATGACAACTTTTATAATATTTCTGTCTCTGAGTGTCCACACGGACCACCGGGCATATGAAAAGTTAGCTTGATGGCAGTGGAATTGAACCCACTCAAACCGACTTGACCTCGTAGCTCAGTTGGACTGGACTAGCAAACCAAAGGTCACAGGTTTGATTCCCACCACGGTCAAGTAAAATTTTCAGCCTGCCCGGTGTGGACAAACTCAGATGCACCACAAACACACAACTTTAATTTCATTCTCTGATATATAGGACATCAGCCCCAGAACACTACAGACTGCCCGCCCGGCCTGCAACAGAAATTAACACCAGATCAAATTACGGTCCTTCCTACCGACACTCGCTTCCTTCCTCAAGCTTTAGTAACAGACTTGGACAACGTTTACAAAATGCAAAGCCGGCCACGAGGACTGTGCTTGATCATCAATAACACAAAATTTGCCAAATCTGCAGACCTGAAGCAACGAGACGGCTCGGACGCAGACGCATTAAACCTGCAAAAACTATTTCTTGCTTTACATTATACCGTGACAGTGCTACGAAATACGACAGCTTCGATACTTATGGAAAAGATATACGAGTTTGCACAAAGACCTGAACACGGCAGCATGGACTCTGTCGTAGTCTGTATCCTGAGCCACGGCATGCCAGGGAAGATCTACACTGTGGACGGCAAGCTTATTCCAATTAATGACCTAACAGCAGCATTTAATGGGCAAAATGCAAAGCATCTGATTGGTAAACCTAAACTCTTCTTCATTCAGGCCTGTCGAGGAGGCAAGGTAGAGGATAGCTACAAGTTATAATTGCACAAATTTTGTACTTAATCCATGTATACATTAACCCATTGAGCCGCAATGCGCCCTACTTATTTTTTTACTTGTCTAACGCCAGACAATTTTACTCGTCAATGGGGAAGCTCTGCAGCTTAATGGGTTAACCAAAAAATCTGACAATATCTCCAGTTAACCCATTGAGCTGCAATGCGCCCTACTTATTTTTCACTTGTCTGACGCTTTTACTCGTCAATGGGGAAGCTCTGCAGCTTAATGCCGGTTAATCCTTTAAGTGACTCTGTCTAATGCCAGACGATTTTACTCGAGTGCTGCCACTCAATGGATTGACTTTTACTTGCTGCATTTTCTCCATCTTGGGAAAATGAAATGTGGGGAAAATTGTGCCTGTAGACTATTTCCCGATTGTTTGTTCCATGCCCAACAAATCAAGCCATTCCTTCTTAATTAGATAGATCATGGTGCAAGCACGGACCAAGTTGACTCCAGTGAAGTGACCATCAGAAGCACTGCAGATGTACTACATGATCTTTATGATGGGGAAGATGAAACAGACTCGGGGTCTAATGCTTCAGTCCCTGCCGAGGCAGACTTCCTGTTGGCTTACTCAACGGTTCCAGGGTTCGTTTCATGGCGAAATTCCGAGAAGGGATCGTGGTTTGTTCAAGCATTGTGCGAGATATTCATGACTTATGCTGGACAGGAAGACGTTGTTCGTATGCTCATTAGAGTTAATGGGAAAGTTGCACGGGAGTTCCAGTCTTATGAACAGAAAAAGCAAGTCCCATCACCTGTTGTTAGACTGACCAAATTGGTCTACTTTTTTCCTGGGTATTAACCCAAGACTCTTTCCTTTTTTAATCAGTAAAATCATAATCATCTGCCATCACATGGAATTAAATGAAAAAACTTTAGGCACTTTTTACACCATCAGAATTAAATGATAATACAGTACTGTAAGCAAATTTTACACAAAATTAAATGATAAATTAAATTAATACTTTAATAGGCATTTTTTATATCAATTAAATGTATGATAATACTTTAGTTTCTAAAGGCACTTTTTACACAGAATTAAATTATAATACTTTAGGCACTTTATACTATATCAATTAAATGTATGATAATACTTTAGTTTCTAAAGGCACTTTTTACACAGAACTAAATTATAATACTTTAGGCACTTTATACCTATTAACGATCAAATTGTGTCATAAAATCCAATTGCCTGCCAATTCTAACCAATTGAAAGGCAAAGGAACATTTTAGTAGTTATTATTTTGCCAAATGTTACACAATTTTATCAGCATAATTTAAATTCATTAGGTACAAACTTTGTAATGTTTTCATACCCTGAGAAAAATTAGCCCCAAGTAGGGATGAGCCGATAAGGAAAATTGCCGATTACTGAGGCAGATTATTTATAAGCCAATTATCGTAACTAATCGGCCGATTAATCGGTACCCGCCGATTATTTTAAAAAGCGGTTTTATTGTTTACAATACACACTATGTACAATTAAAATCAGCTTCAATGTTGCATGTCAATAGTCAAAGTTTAGTTTTGGCAGATTATGATGTAAAGACAGGATATTGTAAGCTATGCAGAGCTAGTCTGCTGCGTTTTTCAGTGGAAATGTCCCCAGCTTCACTTCTCTTGAGACAAAAGACACAGGTTTTGCAACAAAATGTGAAAATCTATTCGCTTGTATTCAGTATTTTAGCATGTGGTTGGCAGCTGCAGAAAAAGTCTTATGGCCGATTATCAGGCAATAATCGGCCGATTACCGATTATTTAAAAAACGGCCGATTAATCGGCTTTGCCGATTATTTACCGATTAATCGGCTCATCCCTAGCCCCAAGTATGTGCAATATAGGACAACCCTATTTACACTCACACAATTCCTAGCGGACTCTGCCTAGTATTATTGCCGTGTCTACCGTGACTCTGCCTAGTATTATTGCCACGTCTACCATGTCTTCTTTGCGAATCATATCTCAATGGCAACAAATGGCGGCTACAGCTGACTGGGCGGGCAGGAAATCGAACAGTGTTTCCTTGCTCCAGTATCACTCCCCCATTGTCGTTAAGCAGAGCTTCCTCATAGGTTGGCGGACTTGTAGGAGTGTCATGATTTAAAGCTTCACTATATGTCGGAGGAGCACCACTTTGTGATGGAACCTCACAAGCATAATCATCTGCTTCAGGACATTGGTCTCTTCGAATTTGTACTGTGCGGTGAACAGCTCTACGCCAGGTCCTCCATAACCATATTACCATCAGAATTGAGGCGAAAAATACAATAAGTACCCAAAGTATATACAGAGCTTTGCTAGGTTTCTTTTCGGGGCAATTTAATTCGTCACTACCGTCCGAACAATCGTGCAATCCATCACAAACAGCTCCTTGGCTTATGCATTGTCGACTTGTACAGCAAAATTCGCCTGCAGAGCACAAGCCTTGCTCCACTAGCTTATAACTTAGTACAAACATCCCAGCTTCTTTGTTTTTAGAGGTTGCTTTAATTAGGAGCCTATTTGATTTCGATAGCCAGGTTAGTTTGCGAGGTTGGCTGCAAGCAGTTTTAATTTTTACAGAATTACCAGACCAACCATCATAGACTTCTACTTGTCCATTTGTGCATCCAGTCCTTGCAGTAGCGAAATTAAACTCGAGGAATTTTAATTTGACGTAGCCATGTCGAACTTCGATTTTCCAAACACATTCGGCAGCTCTGGGGTATGGTTTCGGGTACCCGTAGGAGTAGATGTAGCCAGCATCGTTTGTCAAGAGACCCCCGCAGGGTGCCATGCTTGTGTTCGTACCTTTAAAAGTTGCTGCAAAATTTGATTTGAATTGTTGAGACGTCTGGTGAAGCAAAGATAATTCACGTCCTTTTGAAAATATGTAAAACGACTTTAACTCCCCACATAAACGCTCATATCCTCGAGTGGTGCTCTTGACCTCGACAAAGGCAGTTTCTTTGACCATGACAAAGTCAGTGTGACACATGTCAGATTTTCCGACAGTAAAGTTGGTGAAGGTCACTTTAATCCACCCATATGGGACAGCAATCGTAAACAAACAACGATTAACACTGGTGAAATTTTGGTATAAAGGGGGTGATCTTATCACCGCTGAGCTCTCTCGGATAAATTTCCCACATATTGTCCGATAATCGGCTTTAAATTTATTGACCGTAGTAAGATTCGCCCGATGGTTCGTTGCAGATGAAAAATATTTAACTCTGAGTACGTTTTGAGAAGAGTAAACTCTGATGGGTCTACTATTTGCACAATATCGCCCGACGAAAGGCGATGTGGAGTTAAGACCGTCTCGAAACTCCACATAATCATCTTTACAAGAACAACACGCCGTTTTGATCTCGAAAACGCGAACGGTTAATTCGATTCGATAGCCCGTTGGTACTTGGATTTCCCAAATGCACGTAGTAGGCACCAAAAAATGGAGATTTTCTTCAGATAACAACGTCCCATTTTCTGCTGTATGTCTGTATACTTTGTCACAAGAAAGTAGACATTTTGATGAGTGCAAGCAAAACAGCAAGACGCACAATGTAAACAACACAGCTACGCTTTGTTTTGCATTATTCGAAGGGATACTTTCAAGAATCATCGCTGGATTTTTCAACCATCAATCTATATATCCATGTGTCACGTAAGCATATACTTTAGAACAAAAATGAAAGACTTACAATCTGGTGACATCAGGTTAAATTTTCGAAGAGTTTTCTCGATCGCAAATGAACCAATATATTTTCCTAATTATTTGTAACTGTTGATATTCAATCATGCCCAACTTTCACATCATTCAAAAGTTGCATACATTAGAACACAAAACCGTTGTTTGCACCTACCAATGAACAGTCTCAGATGATAAAATGTAGCTAAGACCAGAAGAATTAGAATATGCATATCAAAGTATTTAGCTGTTCAGTCAAAAGGTACACTTGGATTCAAATAATTAAGCTAATTGTTCTTTGAGCAATGTTCTGCATATTTTAATTCTTCAATGTATTCTCAAACGATTATTATTCTAAAGGTTCATCTGTTGTTGTCAGTGTTTTTTGTTTCTTTGCTTTCTTAGATTTCTTGTTTGCTCGTTCTATCACATGTGCCTCGTTTAGTTCCTGACTTCTTTCCTTCATGTGTTGATTCTGTTAAAAAAGGAATTAACTCAATGAGCACCAGGCAGGCCAGCAGGGCCATCGCTGGGGGGGGGGGGGGGGTGTTGGGGGTGTGACACTCCTGAAAACATCTTGTTGGCAAAGTGAAGGACTTTAGTCTGCAAATTGTTTTTGCAGTTGGCAAAACATGAATTGGATAGGAAGGAAAAAAAACTAAAATATTTGAGAAAATGAAAAATACAATGTCCAGAAAAAAATTTATGTTTAACTAAATAGGTTAATTAAAGACAATACTTTGCTGCTTGGTATTGATTCACTATTGAACTTACCAAAACAGAACTTCTTCTGCTGAGCAAGACAACATCATCTGAATTGATAACAGTTCGTTTTGCATGCCTACAAAATGTTTTAAAGTGTATAAAATATGTTTGAACTGCATTTGTGTCCATGACACTTGCAAGAATGTGCTTGTCTCTAATCAAAGCCAACATGAATTGCTTACTTTGCAAAAAGTTCCAAATCAGTCGCAAAAGAATCTAAGTTATACAAAAGTGAAAGTCATAAAATAAATTATGTGTGAATTTCACTTAAGTTTTAGTAATGATACAGGTGGCACTATCTGGTAGAATATAGAAAAATTGTCTTGGGATACCATGCCCCTGGCCTTGGATGGCCGGACAATTTATAGACTCCCTCTTGTTTGGGGCTGGCTGTGCCCCTGAGATGTAATTACAAATATGAGAACTGACCTATTTGTTTAAAAGTTGTCTCTGTCAAGGCAGCTATAAAGTGCTTGGAGTAACGTAAACTTGCCTCCTCCCCTATAAAAATAACGCACCGTTATAAGTAGGTCTCTCAGTTGTAACTAAAGATCCTGAACCAAATTCAGGTTCATTGCCCTGTTTGTCAGTGATGAATTTCTATTTTGTGTGTTAATATCAGTCAAAAATATGGGCAGGCAAATGAAAGTAGTAAGTTAGCACGTGGAAGGAGAACAGCCTGGGTACGAGATTAGTGACTACGGCTGAAGAAATGACACAAAATTCTCACCGATTTCTTCACATATTTTACCCACTGTGTAATGCAAGGCAGCTTTCAAGCGCTAAAATAAAAAACACATTAGAAAATTTACTTATCCTAATAAAAAATTTACAAAATCGCATGAATTAAACCTGTTTGTTCTCCAAATTTTCAAATTCTTCATCAAAATTGTCATCTTCACTGGCGGCCATTTTGAATTTCTAAATTTCCCGCCAAAAACTCACTAAATTATCATGCTAATTTATGGAATAATTAACAACTTCGCAGCAGCGGAGGAACTTAGCTGCGGCGAGGTGGTCAATCATCAAATGTTTTTTTTTAATTATTTTTTTAAAGTTATTGCAAAAGGAGATTATTGAGACATCGAGAAGTCAAGTTCCAACACAATTACATCGCTTCAACATTATTTTAATCTTAAATTTATTTTCTGGCCGAGACTAATTTATAGAAATTGTTCTAAGTCAATTTCCAATGCAGCACAAGGATTATTCAGTTCAAATTTGCTGAGGACTGTAGGATGCAGGACGCCCATCACACCAATCGACCTGCCGGAGCAGATCACTTCAGCACAGCGTCCTGGGAAGAACGCAGGATCTATAGAAAATAAATTAAAAATAAAATTATTTGCTTTCTTCAATTTACCATAATACTACGTCTACAATCACAATTTTTGAGAGAATTTAAGCTTTTGGCAATTCTCTGAGCAAACTAGGCTGCAAAACATTAGGTGGGCGAACCAGGAAACAATGTTTCACTGTAGGAAATCAAACAAAATATGTTTCTGGATTTGTCTGGATACATTTCTGCTTGTGTGTTTAATAATCGTTCCTCTTACCTTCAATTGCCTTAATGTAATAACCGGGATCATTTTCTGACTTATCTTTAGCCGGCTTAACTTCCAACAGTTGCATTATTCGGTCTAGGAGCCCATGGACTACCTACAAAAAATCATCAATATTATCATGATTATTGTGAATAAAAATGAAAAAGAAATTTCATAGGATTTCCAAAATAAAGTTACCTCGAAACCAGGAGTTTTGTTATAGTTCACTGCACAAATTCGTCGATGATTTCTGGCCCCAACATCTTTTTAAAACAAAAGACACCATCACTAAATACCATGGCAATCGATTAAACAACCTGAATTAATCCAGTGAATTATTCATACCCACCTTTTTTGTTATCTTGAAGAACAATATCAGAAACTTCAAAAAGTTTTAACGGTAGCGGCATTTTCCTGTTAGCACTGATTGTCTTTAAAACTCCAGGCAATAAAGTTGTTCTTACAACCTAAGAAAACAAACGCATCGGAATATCAGATGAAACTGAATAAAAAAAGAGACTTCAGATAGACAGATATAAAGATAAATAAAGAATATTTCTCCAACAGTATATAGAGCTTGGCTTAAACTCTGTCGTACTTGGAATTCCAGTGTCTTCGGATTATCTATTTCCACTGCTTGCGTAGACTCGAAGTTTCTGTTTAGTTTATCCGCGATATCGTCTCGCGAACACTAAAATGGGAATGCAAAGAATGAAAAGTCTTTACTTTTTACGTTGATAACAGTCGGTTGACCACCATCTATTTAACTGCCGATGATAGTATTTTTTTATGTACCACTTATAGAATGGCCATTAATGTTCGCTTAGTTTGCCAACAACTAAATTTCAAATTCAATTTTTAGAAGTTTATGCAGAAAGTTGGAAAAAACTAACCAATGCAAAGGTCAACGCTTCTGTATATCCAGCTTGAACAACTTCAGATTTCAATAAATCACATAACTTATTTAAAGGAAACTATACAAAAACAAAACAACAATTAGGCCTATTACTATTAAATATATGTAAAGGGAGTTCTTTCTGGTAAAGTACTACTTGTAAGACTTTGATCACACAAAGCACATACTTGATTAGCGATGGTCATTGACTTCGGAATTGTTTCTTCGATGTTATTGTAGCCATATGCAATAGCCACATCTTCCATTATGTCACACGCATGAATAACATGTGGAATTGGTTAAGGATTTATCATGAAACAATATTTTGAGCCTGTATATACAGCATTAATATATTGTAAGATGCATGGAAGCAACATATATGAGACGTGAAAGAACTTTACCAGGAACTACCAAGTTTAAAAGAAGGAGGGTAGAAGACCTGCAAGGATACACACCAATCAAACTAAGTAATAAAACACACCTGGTCCAATAGAACTTTTCAGGGCCCACTGAAAATCACTATATTTGTGAGTTGGGTACCCTGATGAAATATTGTCAAATAAAAATAAATAAATGAGGAGGATACTTGAATTCCAAACGGACGCAACAAGAAATAAGATAAGAAAGTTTGAACAGAGCAATGCCATATATTGTCTGGATCGATCGATATCAATAAAATAATAATTAACACGAGTCGAATAAATAATATAGGAAAAATAAACACTGAAAAGGATATCAGCTCTTGTTGGTGGTATTTCAACTTCAATAGATTTTCCGCCATCCTTTACTTCACTACTTAAACACATCCTTGTTAAGAGATCGGCTATTCTTTCGGCACTTTCACTGAAAGATGACAAAACAAAATCAACGATAACAACTTTAGTTGTCAAATAAATGGATCAGAACTTGTTCTCTACATTTCAACCTTTTCCACCATATAAATTAATAGGCTTTAAGTGTGCGAGGATAACATTCCTTTAACGATAACCTATACCTGTAGGTATTTATGGAAAAATAAAAACAACGTACTTTATTCCTACTTTTGTGTTTGTTTCTTTGACCGAAATTGTTTCATGTCTATAATTCAGTTTCTAAAAAGTATGAAATCAACAAGCAGTATTACTGTATTTACATCATGGTTATCCTGTAGTATTCAAAACCAGGCATTTGAAACAAGAAAACTTACCGGATATAAAACAACACTTCCATCCGGTTGTACAACCTCTGATTGTTCTACACTAAAAGTTTCAGAAAATTTATTTATTCTCTCTGCCTCTGGTGCTTATTAACTTATTTTGATGTATTTGAAACTTACATAAACTTCTGTTTGCAATACACACTGAATATTGTAACCAGAGTATCCAAAACAATTTCAGCCTATAAAGTGAAGAAAGAGAAAACAGAATAGAAGACATCACACAAAATATTTGCACATCTTGTTAATAACATATTTCTATACGTATATTCACCTTCCGTAGATCCGTGGCTGTGCTTTCAATAAAGATATTCTTAGTATTCAAAGTGATCTTTGAGTGGTTTCCTGGTGGGATAAAATGAGCCACATAAATTTCACCCTGCACAGTAAAACACTACCTCAACATCTATATGAACTCAAATTACTCCGGAAATATATGCGGCATGGCTTACCATTTATGATCGGAGGCATAGAAAGGACGATGCCATTACTGTCATATATAACAGGATATACAGGTTTATCTTTTATAATGTGTAAATAGTGTTTTAGGTTGTTATCACTCTGTAAGAAGAGAAAAGAAAAACAAGGATTTTAACGATAAAAAAAATTTGCATAGATAATGGTTATCATTCAATTTTTTATCATTAAAGATGCAGTGCAGTCTATTCGTATGTCATGTGTCAGCATACCTAAAGTCCCACATTTTCAGACTGGTAAATACAGTACCTTTCTGAAATCAACGTTGCAGACTCGTAGAAGTTGATTAGGAAGGTTCATCCAATTACTCTTTTCATAATTGGAGGAAAACAATGTCAATTGGACAATATAATCCCAATGACATTGTTTTTTTGTTGTACATAGTTTAATATTCAGGTGGTATACTTTTTACATACAAGATTTTTTAGTTATATTTAAAACATTCCATGATATGACCGCGAATTCTACGCAAAGACGAATGATAAAGCACCTGATACAGTTCCATAAGTTCAACTGCGGTGTATTCTTTGTCCTACAAAAATAAAATAAATGAAGTTTTAAAACAGTGTGTGTTTTGATTTGTTTTGTGTGACAACATGTGTTCTATGGATACAGAGAGCAATTTACATGTATGAAAACCTTCTCTCCATTCCCATAAATGTTCCTGTTCCAAAACAAAGAAGTACCAGTCCATAATATTTGCGTACTTCTAGTACGTATAAGTATGTGAATTATCGCACCCTGTTTTCTTGGCAACTGTTTAACTTTAGATATAAACAACAGTATACCTTATTTAAAGGTATAAACTTGATATCTTGTGGAGGCCTTGCATCATATAGAAATGGCCCTTTGATTGAGTCCAAGTCGTGAGTTCCTATTGCGACCAATGATCGCTTGCGACAGATATTCTGGTGAAGTTTATCTTGTAGTTCAATAAAGCTGTTGTAACCTTCCTATCAAGAAAAAGAACATGGACTAGTATTGATTAAATCATAGTTTACAGTAGTTATCTAGAGACCTTGTTGTTATTAGAAGTAGAAAAGTACTGTGCATAAATATTTACCTGCGTCAGTGTGACATCTCGTAGGACTGCAGTGACGCAATAAGGACGAACCTGGGCAGTCTGAAAAGAAACGTAGAAGAAAAGGGTACAAGTTCACTTGATTTTGACATATTTGATGGAAATTCCAACAGTACTAAGATTAACAAATCAGAATTGCACTTGTTGAATCCGTTCACCCAATTAAATTATACTTCTTCCATTAATTATACTTCTTCCACTTCTTCTTAACTTCAGGTCGCTAACGTAATTGACTCACGCTGTGTTCCTGAGCCGTTCTCCTGTTTGTATTTTCCTTGTTTATGTTCGTGTAAACGGCCGAAGTTAATAAATAAACTTTGAACCAAGCGAATCTAGCAATTTTGTAAGCACCTGTTTTGCTATGGTGAGTCTTTGCAAAGGACCATCAGGTTTTGACAGATGATATCTCGGAGCTTTGATTCTACAGAAATAATTTCAGCTACTTTTAAACATTCTATTCTACATTTTGTACATATAATTTTTATTTTTCAAGCACATTAAAATTATTATAAAATGCTTCAATAACACACTTCTGTAGAAAGACCAATAAGCTTCTTGATAATCCTTCAATGCATAGCAGATCATATCTAAAGGTAAAATTATGAGCAACTTTTATTTTAATGAAAATGATAAAATATTAAAAGGCAAACAATTAGCCTTTCTCACATAAAACTTCTATGGTAAATTACAGAACTTTACAACTTTGTAAAGTCACTTTTCTCATTGTTGTAATTGTCTACATCATTTTACAAGGGAAGACAGTACCTCAAAAATGGTGGATTTTGGCCAGTGTGAGAAAGGCATTTATGTTGGCTAAGTAAGGCTAATTTAGTACATCTAATAATTCTTTTTAGTATAATTACATAGGTGATTATTGAAAATTCTCCACGCTGATTGGTTGCCGTTGAGGTGATTATTACGCAATAATCACCTAAGCGATTTTCAAAATGGCGGCCAAAGCCTTTTTGTCAATTAAATGACGAAGAAATGTGTATTTTCTTATTTTTCCCAAATAATCACCTATGAAATTGTACTAAAACAATTATTCACCTCAGGCTCGGTGATTATCGTGAATAAAAACCTCGACTTCGTCTCGGTTTTTATTCACCGATAATCACCTCGCCTTCGGCAAATAATTGTTAAATATAATGCTACTTTCTTTTGTTTCCTTCCAAAACTGCTGCTCTGTCTTCTGACATGGCACACATTACCTACTGTAGGCCTACCTGTTTGCAGGGACATCAATTTTATAAATGACTTTATCTGAAGCAGTTTCGGCTTTATCTTGACCTTGTTCTTTAGTAATCATTACTTTTTCTGATGTCTACAATGATGAACACAACAAGTCAACAACTATCAATACAGAAAGGACTTTTCTCCTAAAACAGACAACTACATCATTATATACATATGATGTCTGGAATTGTAAAAGGAAATAGGCGCGCACACTGCACCTCTCAGAAGGAAAGACGTCATATTAGTCCAATTTATGAAATTAGTAAGGCAGTTAATAATGCCATCCCTCTGTCATCTTTTTAGTAACATGAATAATACAGTACTGTACCACTTCATCAAGTTCAATTCCAAAGTCAAAACATAGTTCATCAAATTCTTCATCAGCTACAAAGTAAACATAATTTGTGCAATGTGCCCAAATGCATCTGACTTTTACTGTCTAAACACCAAATGATTTTACTCATTATTAAAAGGAAAAGTAGAGTTTTGCATATTAATGGTTAATCTGTGGAGACATATCATCTGACCATTTAGGCATGTAATCCACATGGTGTAAACATAAGATCATGATCTACTGAGACAAACTAGCTGGAATAGTGAGATCAGTTGATTCAGTTCTTCTCATCAAGGGGAGCGCTGGCACTCAATGGGTTATGGTGTGTGGTATACTCATGGTAGAAATAGGGCGTAAAAATAAACCCTCACTCAGTGGTTCTGGTTTCATATCGCAAAAAAATTAGGGTCGGTAGGTCGGAAACAATTTTTTCAATAATTAGTGTGACAACAGACGCCATTTTGGCAGCAGCCCACAACCACCCGGAGAAAATAGGGTCGCATGGTCAATCGCGTTGAAAAAATAATAGGGTCAGCAGAAAAAAATAGGGTCAGTCAGGAACAGGAACCACAGGTATTTTTTTTATGCCTAGCCAATCAGAGCTACATCCGTAAACTAGGCGTTTGTAGGACATGAACTTTCAATAACATTTGTATTGAGCCTTCATTTTTCTCCCCCAGCCTGCCGCCCACCCAGACTGAAAAATAAAGGCCTGATCACAGATCAAGATCACATGAACAACTCGTTTAAAATTGTCGTCTAGACAGATAATCTGCCTCTAGTATAAATCAGGCCAATAAAACATGAAATCAACTAATTCACTAATTAGATTGATTATTTTAATGATTATACTTATTTTAATCACGGTTAATAGAGTTATAATCGATTGATTATGGTACATATTATAACACACGTGACTAGGATAATAATTAATATTTATTTATACTACCATCAGTACATCACAACAACAACTGTTTTATCCTCCGATCGCTTTAATACTCACTATATTCTTTGCCAAGAAGCTTGAATAATTGGTCTCGTTCGACTTGAACCGTTGGCATATTTCAAAGTATTATTTATCAATCAATAATTATCATAGAACACGAAAATATAACAAGTGATTTTAACCACCCGCTTCGCAACCGACTAACTATCGCCAAAAATGTCGCCTATGCATCGGCTGGTTTCTCCGCAAACGTGGAAGAATGAAAATATGATAAGAACAACAGCGGGAAATTCAAAATAATGATGTTTTAAAAGTATTTTATTGTTGGGAAATAAGTAAGAAAGGTAGAAGAAAAACGGGAGCAATTTGGAAAAGAAACATGCATGAGTCTAAGGGCATCAAATTTGCAGGGAGGGGTTGGGCAGGGGCCCGGAGGGGGTATCTGAATTTTCACTCTACCTCAAATTCAGTTTCTAGCTCAAATCCAATTTCCAGCTTTTTAAATTCAATTTCCAACTCAAATTCAATTTATTGCAACTTATACACCTGAACAGATTAAATATATATTTTTACAATGAATATATATAAAGCAATATAAAGATCAGAAACACTATTACACTATTAATACATGTAACAAAGTTAAAATGCACTAAATATATTAAGATTTTCCGAAGAAAATTTTCAGATTCTTTCGGCTTAGTCTGAAGGCCCAGGTCACCGCACTACACAACGATTTAAACGATATAATATTAAACTTGTATACGCGCACTGATTCGTCAAAACATTTATCGTTATCGTCCGACTGATTTTTAACATCCCTCAAACGATAATTTTATCGTTTTCGTTGTGGTGTGGACACCAACATGATTTTATTAATTGACCAATCATTTCGTGTTTACAAGTTATCATATCGTTATCGTTGTGTAGTGTGACTTGGGCTTTTAATTCAAGTATAAAGCCTATTTTATGGACTTATGGTATATACATATGTCGCATTACAGACATTACATACTAATTTTTTGTCAACAACATTTTTTAATTAAGCAGCTTATTCTTTCAATTTTCAAAACTATTGTAATACTGTTATAAAGTTAATTGTTTTTGTTTGTGGAAACACCACGTAAATTTATTACTGCAAAGCTTTCGATCCGTAAGCCCGGATCTTCATCAGTGCTAATAATATGATTAGCACTATGATTAGCACTGATGAAGATCCGGGCTTACGGATCGAAAGCTTTGCAGTAATAAATTTACGTGGTGTTTCCACAAACAAAAACAATTATATTTTATCGCCATGCAAACATTCAAAGAACTTGTTATAAAGTTGTTGCAATTATTTATAGCAAGCTCCTTCGGGCCCACTTGTGTCAGCTTTCTCAACTTTCACAGCTTCTGTGCGGGTTTTGACCGTCATCCACGATTTATTTTGCGTATTATTACACGAATTACACATAGGTATAATATACACTTCAGTCGAGTGGCCATAAATATGGACATGACCTCCACCGATAGCCAATTCACTACATCCGCTGATCCGGCATTTCTTAGGCCACTCTCGACCAGTCTCATGCATCCAGTACCGCTTCCAGGTTTTGGAGCCTTTCGGTGCACACTGATGAGTTCCCTCGATGTTTTGCACTTGGTTTTTTTCTGTTAGCAACATAGTTGGCATTTTGTTTCCTAGTTTGAAAATAAAATAGAATAGAATAGCTTCGTCTCACTTCGCGGAATATTGGGGAGGGGGGTGGATTTGGTTGCTGACATGTGGCTACCTTTAGTACCTGATAGGCCTAAAAATTCCAGTCTTGTAAACGTCTTTTTGCATAAACTTCGGATTTCATACATATACAGGTGAATGCGTAGCCTACCAAATAATGTTGTTATGGTTGAAAAATTATTGTATCAGTTATGGTTGAAAAAATGATTGTATATGTAGCTATGGTTGAAAAATTATTGTATTTTATTTAAGCCTGGTTCACATATGCCTGCGGCATGCCTGCGACTGTATCATTATGCCTCTACTTGCCGCCGAAATACCGGCAAAGTTGAACTCAACTCAACTTTCCCGGCCTACCGCCGATGTAACTGTGGCACTGGAGGCAATCGGCGAACAAATATTCACATAATTTACGTTTTAAGCTACCACCGGCATCGTCGCCGGTACTTCGCAGGCACGTCGCAGGCATATATGTGTGAACCAGGCTTTAGCTACCATTCAAAGGCCTTCAGAAAATTGGGGGGGGGGGCGGTTGCCCTGTGTCCTCAATATTGTTCGCCAATGGCTTCTTTGACAATACAGAAGATTATTCTTGCGATTTGAGTCAGTCAGCGCGCAGTCACGTGCTGTAACGCCCACTTTCACTTTTGTTTTCGTCAGTTTACCGAGAATATGTTTCCAATTACAAGAAGCACGGTTGACTATTTTTGAATACTAAAACTGTACAAAACAAATATGGTATCTCGACCGAATATGAACATTTGAATGTTTTCTAGCGTTCGAATATCCTTTAGCGATCATATCCCAGGGCCGTAGGAATTTCTTTTTGATCGGGGGGGGGGGGGCTGAAAGCGAGGGCCGAAGGCCCGGGGAAATTTTTAAATTTAGGGTCTCTCAAACGCCATTTCCTGGACTTTGGGGAAGATTTGACAGAATTTTGATGGTCAGAAAACAGCGTTTTAGTATGTCGAAATTTACAATTTGGTAGTACTAAATGGGTGAAGGTGTATTTAATTAACTATATATTGGATAAGTTGCAGGAAAGTATGGGTAATATCTTCATTCCTTGCAGTTTGTCATGGATAATGTAGGCGCTTAAAATTAATAAAGCTTAAAATTGATAAAGGTCTGCATGATTTGGAAAAAAGAATGATTATTAGCAAATTATTGGGGGGGGGGGCGGGCGGGGGCTGCAACCCCCCAGTCCCCTCGGTTGCTACGGCCCTGTATCCTAATGGAAATTGACATCATCAGGAATCTGATGCTGACTAAAACGTTGTCGGAATTAAGCTATAAACTGTATTAAAATGTTCATATTCCGATTGTTTTGTTTGTTGTTGAAATTTGCATATTCATTCCCACGATCATACTTTCGATATTGTTGAAAGCGAGCGCCGAAGGCCCGGGGAAATTTTTAAATTTAGGGTCTCTCAAACGCCATTTCCTGGACTTTGGGGAAGATTTGACAGAATTTTGATGGTCAGAAAACAGCTTTCTGAGTCTGGCTTTAGCTGTCGTTAGTTTCGCTGGTTATAAAAGACTTAAGTTTATTCATATCGGAACCAAATATTCACGATGTCACTTTTCGAGTTGACACTGGACGCCAAAACGGGACGAATTCGAGTACAGTTGATCGTTGATACGTCAAAAATTATGGATCGGACAAAATATGGGTTAGAATTAGTTAGTTGTGACTCGAATATCAAACAGTTTAAAGCAGAAATTGAACTTATTGTTTCAGGAAACCATATAACAGACGATCGACTGTGTAATATACAGTGTAACAATTGAAAAAGCATGCCATAACTAATGAATATATATGTACCTGTAAATAATACTACTAACTAGCTACGACAATGAAACATTCAACTCAGTTCACTGAAATGAAGGATTCGATCTCTCACAATACGATTTTGAAAGTTGCGCTACGCAAGGCCAAGGGTGAGTGTCTGACGCTGGTCTTGGAGTCTTGGACTCGTACTGCAGCTGAGCTATTGTGCCAGTTTTGTACAATATCCCGTTCATAATGTATCTACTCGCTCATTTATTGCTTTTCTACTTTCATTTGTCACCATGTTCTAGTTATGCGTACCGGCTATTGCTCAGATTCAGCGCAACTTTTCTGTACTCTTTATGAATATGATGATGCATCCTCCGTCTTTGACAAATGGTTTTATCCAAAACACCGATCGTTTTATGCTGTTTTTATTCAACGATATATACTGCAAACACAAAACAAACACACTATAGTACCTTCCCTTAAACTTACCTTTTATAATTGGAACGACAAAACAAGAATTTAGCGAAACTTGATGTTGTATTATTCTTGAGGTTTTCTCTATGTCCCCATACAAATTGCGGAAAACTGACGATAAAGGCTTTTGCTTGTGCTTTTATAGATTCTAGAGTGCGTCACAAAACATATATGTAGGGAACTTCCCTGGCGCACTAATTTAGAATGTATAATATATGTTTAATTTAGATCATCTTCCAAGAACTAGTTTTCTGCGAACTGAGTACTAAGGAATGTTACGCATGCGCATATGCATGCCATGACGCATGTCATGAAAGTGAAACTACAACAGACCACACATTGAATGGCGAGATTAATTTATTGTTGCTTTAATGAATATTCAATAAGCATAATTTTCGTCAGTCAAGATATATTCTCTATACAATTAATATATTTTATGTAGTCTTCTTAACGAAATCTCCTACTTCTTTCCTGGTTGAACTATGCATTTACCGCCCCATCCGCTAAATAAAATAAATATAATAATAATTAAAATTATTATTTAATAGACTCATTTCCCAAATCATATAGTGTATCAAGATATGATGTTCTGGAACTAGCCCAGCAAACTTCAAAGCTACAAAATGGAAGACCTTTATTAATTTGCTTGTGATAGGTTGAAACCGTGTACAATTCATTCACTGGTTGTACGTTTCATCACAGCTATCCCTATTAGACGATTACGAAACATCTGTTTAGTTTTCAGACCATCATATCTTGATATGACTATGCTGATGCCGACCCAAATTTGCTGGCGGCTAACAATATTAGGAATGATTAAACATGGTGATTCCTTGATTATGACACATATGCAGTCTATACTATTGAAATACTATTTAAAAAACGAGCGGGAGTGTTTTATTAGGTTTAAAGCCACGAGCGCGCAGCGCGAGTGGCTTTAGACCTAATAAAACACGACCCGCGAGTTTTTTAAATGACTTCAAAAACGTATGCATAATAAGTCAAATCTTTATATAAAAATCTTTATATAAAAATCTTTATATAAAAATCTTTATATAAAAACCTTTATATAGTTTGCATAACAATGGTCTTTTGTTAAAGTGTCTTTAGCTGGTATAAAGACGTATGCACATGACTAATTTCTTACTCAAGATTGGATAATTGCTTCATGAATTATTAATGAGTTTTTGAAGTTGGAGTAAATAACAATACATTTGAATACTGATCCTCCAATTATTTAGGTTACACAATGTCTCACACCAGTACTTGTCCCATTACCTATTTACACCAAAACAAATGTTTTTCTTTTGTCGACATCGCTTTTGTTGACATGCATGATAAACGATGCCCACAAACCAGATGATCTTGATGCGCGGAAAAGTACTGGCACTAGTTGTCAAATAGAAATCCATTTTGTGATTAAAACAACTGAATATCTCCCGTAATATACTTTATTTCGATTCTATATTTTTGTCAAAGCTATAGTTCTCATAACCAAACATAATTACAAAATTTCAACTAGTCTCATAAAGAATAACGAAAGATATAATTGACTGAATACATCAAAATGAATTTCTATTCGGACAACCCTTTCTGAGCGCTGATTGGCTAAAATACTAACACGAGATCACCTGGAAAAAATTAAAATTCGCTTCGCGTCAACAATTTTGCCAAGTTGCAAACGGGCTTAACATTGCACGATGGTTTTTGCAGACGGAAATAAGTCGAGTGGAAATTTAGAATACATTTATTAGACCTAACCAGGAACAGCTGCGAAAAATGCAACTACAGGTCCCTAGCAGGAATCGAACCTGCGGCCCTGCGATCAGGGACGTCGAAAAGCCATCAACATTGGGAGGGGGGGGGGGTCGTCATGTTTTGACCAACATTTCCTAAAATTTTGACCAAGTCGTAAAAATTTTTCCGGACTAACATACTGACATAGTCAAAAAAAATTTTTCTGGACAAACATAAGCAAATTCAAAATGTTTCGACCGAGATGAGCAAAACTTCCAATTTTTTCATCGCAAACGTGACAAAAGCTTTAAAATTGTTAAAATTGCGAAGCATTTCATAACTTTGGGCAACTTCGACCATCTTTTATCCCAAGCGTTTACAAAATTTTTCCCAGTTTTATCTTCAATTTTAAGCAAATATCAGTTCCATTTTGACCAACTTTGACCAACGTTTGAATTATGGGGGGGGGGGTGTTACACCCCACACACACACACACACACACCCTATAGCGACGTCCCTGCCTGCGATTCCGGAGCAGAGTTCTAACCAACTGAGCTACTGAGGCCAGTTGCCGAACCGCTCCAAAACCCTCCAACTATTCAATCGAGTGAGATCGGCAACAAAACATTGATTTTAACATTATAGCACACGTACCATGTTGCTCCAGGACAGCAGCCACTGATGGGTATACTATAGAAGAGTGTGTTGCATTTTTCTCCCGGGAAATTACACGCCGTCCAGCCTCTTTTGTTTCTCCACACATTGTACTAGAAAAAAATGGATAAAATCAGTCGGATTAGGAAATTTACCGGGAACAACGGATTTTTTGACGGTCACCTTTCGTTTTCATCTCATTTGATAATTGTTCTGAAGAAAATGCTCACGTGATTTCATGGCGTGAAAAACGAGAAAAAAATTACAAACTATGTTGAGGAGAAAATTTTTTGTATGAAATATGGTCACCGCGCAATTACACAGGAATATTTAGTTTTTGGATGGTGCACGACAAAAAAAACCCCAACTATTAGTGCCTCAACGTGTGTGATCCAAAACGATTTAATGAAAAGGATGCCCGTATGTACATATCTATATTCATACTTCGCACGAGGCAGCAATCATTGGAATTTCCCCCCAAATTTTTACCATGAAAATAGTATTGATCTTGGTTGAAAATAGCATGGAAATCCAGTGGATGTGATTGGAATCTCATTGTAGAAATTTTGTTTTTCGCTCCTTTTTGCATGCGCGAGGTGAAATTCGCTTGGTGAATTCCAGCTTAACCTGTTCTAACGCCATTTTGAAAATACAGTGTTGGGTATAGTATGAATAAATGATGCCATCTGATCCACTGAGTGGCTTACCACGGTAGACGACGGTCACTGAGTTAAGCACTGCATTAATTATTAACTATTTATTGCCCAAGAGCTCTCCAACTGCCAAAATATGTTCTGCAAGGGTTTGCCAAACGGATGAAATGATAATTAAAGTTGTCAGAACTTGTCACCATATATGCATGGTTATTTCTTCTATATATATATATATATATATATATATATATATATATACAGGGGCGGCGGAACAGGGGGGCTAGGGGGGCTAGGGGGGCTAAGGCCCCCCAGAAGTAAAAGTGGGGGGACTTAGCCCCCCAGAAAATTTTGTTTTTTCTGGAAAAATGTTGATAATTAAGGAAAAATGTAGGGTATTTTTTGAAAACTTAGGTATAAGGGGAAAAATTTGCAATATTTTGTTTAACAATTGTGTATGTCCGGAAAATTTTTTTGTTATAAGTCCGGAAAAAAATCTTTCATCCCTTTTCTTGTATATGTCCAGAAAAAATTTTGTACCCCTAAAATGGTACACTGACCGAAATGTTTTGGCGACGGGGGGGGGAAGGGGGAGGTCACGGAAAAAAAATTTAGCCCCCCAAAAATGAAATCTGTTCCGCCGCCCCTGTATATATATGCAGTTCTCATACATAAAATGGAACAGTGCGTATAAACTGGGCATATTTCGTGTAGGTTATTACAGCTGTTACCTCTTTGTCCAATTCGCTGTCGTAATCATCTTCGTCCAAATTCACGAGAGGTGACGAAGTGCAAACAGACAACAGTAGGACCAGCATAAAGCATGACAGGTAGAATGATTTCATTTTTGAATATAAGCTAGAAATCAGAAATTTTTAAGTTGCACTGAGAAGATAATTCACAATAGGATCATGCAAGTGTATTTTGCTAACACGAAATGGGAGGACAGGAAGAAAAATGGTGGGATTTGGGATTCCGAGAATTCGCAAGATGCGCGATGAGAAAAATTTGCGGATAACGCGTGCCCGATATAGTAAGAAATTTGAACACGGTTCGAAAATAGAATTGAAAAATCGTCATGAAAATATTTCGTGCGCACTTTAATAGGATAAGTCTCGCTTCCAATCCCCGCTTATTCAATAGCTCAATTGCAATGCCGGGATAGAAACTCGAAGATGCGAACTTTTCACTGCATGCAGTAAATAAATATGAGACATCTCTGAGGATCGATAGTTCTGAAATGGAATTGTGAACCCTTGTTCCAGATATTAAATAACTGTTACAACTTGTTCTCAGTGAGAAACAGCATGCACAAACCGCCTGGAGCGGCTGGCTTTTTTTTAAACACATGCATGACTTTGAAAATAAATACATCCATCTTACCTTTATTCAGTGGATAAAGATAACACCTTTTCTTTTCACGACACTTGACAATCAAAATACTTTGTGTGTGCGTTTTGTGCAAGGTTTATAAAGACGGCGGTCTTATCTGATATTATAATGCAACCACATTTTTTGATAAACTTTGCGTGGTCCTTCATTGTGGGACGTAGCGGCTTTGTTATCTTCTTTATCAGAACAGGTGGACATGAACGATTTCTAATTGATTTGGTTTGGTTTGGTAATTTGTGTAATGCTATGCTTGGCAAACACGTTTGTTGACTACTGACTCTTATAGACTCTGCATCAACTTTGAGCTGGTAGTCAAATTTCTCAAGTCTCATGCAAACTCTATTCTCGCTTCTCAACTCTTATCAAGTCTGATCGAGTCTGATTCACATCAATAGCATAATTTATTCAGTCATTAATAATTCATGAGTAAATTAGCCAACCATATTGCTTTATTTTGCTCACATGATAATACTGGATACCTGATGAAGTACATTGATCCAGTCCTAGGACTGGATCGAAATTAATTCAGTCCTAGCATTTCAAATCCTCCAATTCGGACAGGACTAGATTTCCTCAACTTCGCCTCGGATTTGATCAAATTGCACGGACTTGCAAATCTAGTCCAGTCCTCATAGTCGGATTTGAAATATTACTTCAAACCACGGAAAAAGAATTCATATCTGAGTACGCCTGCAAGACTTTATGATATATACGATATTCAGTTGAGGTACGAGAATATCGATTTAATCGTTAAACTTACATGTGTACTTAAATTGATTGCGCACAGTATACATTACGTATACAATGTGATTAATATTGATACTTCATTTGATATATGTTTGTGTTAATGTTTATATGAAAAACAGAATTATCCATAGATTATTTATTGCATATCGCATACACGAGTCCGCTTTGCGCATTCACAGGCCAGATGTTCTGTTCGACGCCCACAATAACATGATCCATGCATGCATTTGTGCACATTTACTGATGTTCAGGGCCTTGGCGATTGAGGGTGCGGGGGCGTAACTAGTTAAGTTTGCATTGATTTTTTCACTCTCATATAATACGCAAACAATTTATTTGGGCTTTTTCAGTGTTCTTGCAAACAATTTTTTTAAGTCCTTCTCGCATCCCCAACTTCATGCGTAATGCCATAAAAAATAATCATCCGTCTCTTATGTTTCGATACTTTTTTCCGCGAATTAAAGAAGCAGCGGTGAATTGTGACATGTCGTTTAATATTTTCCAAAACAAGAATTAATTAAAATGTACTCTTGAAAAAATATCAATGGCTTCAGCGTGACGCAGTGTTCACTATTAAATATAGGCCGGCTATTTAATTTGCATGAAATCATTCTTAGTTTAATATTTTAAAAATGAAAATACATATGGTATACAGAGTTAAAAAAATGAAATCGTAGACCGACTGACATTTTTCTCCTTATATATTTCACTTCCTCTTCACCCTATCCCGTCTATCCTCCCATTCAATGATGTTTACATAAATTAATAAATTTAGTGAAAACTATAGTGCAAGCGTTCAGTCGTTCTACGAACGTTTGACCAAGATTGCATTGTAGTCCTTGCATTTTTTTATTATATGACAATTAAATATATTAAGGGGAAAATATCAATATATTAACATTATTCCTTGTATATCATTCTGTTAAAAGTGGGGATGTTGCAAACAACTCCTTATATATACACCTATTAATTTTTTTCCCAAAAGAATACTAATAATATCCAAAATTTCTGCAGCGCAAAGTTTCATATAAGTATGATCAAATGCATCATATATATTGCGCTTAATTAACAAAATGTATCGGTTCACTATGCAGCACAGATGTTATATGTTTGTTTTTAAAATATCCATTAGCGGTAAAATATTGTTATTGTTGCATATTTTAAAGTGTTATTATAAGGTTCGTTGGTGGGGTGTAAATGTGTCACAGTCCAAATATTGGCCAATCAAGCACGTGATAGTATGTGATGTTATTTAATATTGCCACAAATTAATTAGTAATATTGGGTAATCGATGCTAATCAGTTGTTTTGTTGATATTGCGATTAAACATTACCAATGTGTGCGATTGAATATATTTATAGCCTGTTTTTTGTTTAAATATTTTTCACTTGTTATTGGCTTTCTCTGTGTTACAATCTTGGGCAAAACAGTTGAGAAACGTTATCAATTTTCAGCCCCCACACACTAAATTAATATTGCATGATACGCGACATTTTTGTTTTCAAAGACAGCGACATAGATATACATTTATTTTTCACCCTGCTCGGTTTCCTTTGTTCTTTTCGGGGAATATATTCAATATTCCCTCTAATAATCCCGGCCTCTAATAATCCCCTCTAATATTCACCTGCAAATGTCTTTGCAGCACAAAAAATGAGAAAAAACAACATCACGAAGGCAATATGGCATTAAGAATTATTTTTATTCTGACTCATTAACGCGACCTCGCAATATGAAAAAAATAAGTACGTTATTTTGAGGCACCTCGGAGATATGAGTTTATTCAACTCGGCGCTGCACGCCTCAGTGAACTAAATCACATAGTCTCCTCGTTGTCTCAAAATAACCTATACATATTTCTTAGTTCCATTCATGATAAGAATATATCGATTCCTTACTGGCTTAAGGCCTTAAGCTCACAGCGTAGCGCCTTAAGGTCACAGCTTAGCGTGAGTTGTGCGGTGTGAGGGTAGTTTGTGTCTTAAAATGGAACTAAGGATGTATCAAGTGACAAATGGGGGTGTAGCATGGGGGTATGGACTGACCCATTTAGTGGTGGAGGGGGAGTCTTGCCTACTATGTCCAAGGGGTAGGGAGGGTGCCCCCTAGTGTTATACAAGAGGTAAAAGATGATAATACCAGTATTACTATTTCAGGTTTACAATGTGAATTCTTTACTCTTGAAATGATGACCTGTTGTCCTAGTGTGGAAAGTTTGTATCGCGCGGCGGAGATGTTGGCCGCGCAATTTTGATTCTTTCTATTTATTCACTAGTAAATTTTCGAAATCTCTGGCACACAATTTCCAACTTTCCAGTCAGGCTGTTGTCTAATCCTTTACCACCCATCAATCAATAACTCAATATGTCCGAGAGATGACGACTTCGATTCCTCTCGTTAGCATGGCGCATCGTTAATGACAGCCTGCGGAGTGCGGACGGACGTTCGCCTGCTAGTACAAGATAGTACATTAAAATTAAAATTAAAGGGTAAGACATTATAGTTCAGGCACTTATCAAAGCTAGTTATATTTTATGTGAAAAGTTGTATTGTAAAATTTGTTAAAATGGTCGGTTGTAAAAAGTTAGCATTCCCATGGTTTAGCAAAAATGAAATACGGCTTTATAAAAGTTTTGAAATGAACAAAGAGTGAATTAGGAATTTAACCCAATAACCCAAACATAGTTCCAAACATGGTCACTCTTTTTTGGTTTTGTTTTTTTGGTCTGTCGATACAAGGTCAAGACTTTGTGTTAACTTTTAAATCACCGAAAAATCGAACAGACCATATGTCCAAATAGAAATTGTCAAAACATGAACGGTTTTCATGTTAAGAGTGAAATAGGAGGGAAACCGGAGTTGCCCGGAGAAAAACCCTCAGACGGATGCTCACACGAAATGTGCACAAACTCACTAAGTGATTTATCCTGTATAAATATTCGTTTATGATGAAATGAATATATGTAGAAGGTATTTTGGTTAGCAGCGAAACTAGCCATAGGAACAGGTCGCAAAGTCACATCCTACCATGAAATTTTTAGGAACTATTCTAAAAAACTCACGTGGAATTTGACACTGCAATATAGCGGGATTGCTCAGTCTAAAGGCCTCAGAAAGGAGGCGAGACCACCCATTTAGCTATTCAGCCTAATGGTGACTATGTAAGCTCCAATTTAAATACATGAAAAGAGAGATATCATGACTTAACGCTCGTCGTGGAGGACATGCAGTGTTTCAAAACCAGACACTGCAATATAGCGGGATTGCTCAGTCTAAAGGCCTCAGAAAGGAGGCGAGACCACCCATTTAGCTATTCAGCCTAATGGTGACTATGTAAGCTCCAATTTAAATACATGAAAAGAGAGATATCATGACTTAACGCTCGTCGTGGAGGACATGCAGTGTTTCAAAACCAGACACTGCAATATAGCGGGATTGCTCAGTCTAAAGGCCTCAGAAAGGAGGCGAGACCACCCATTTAGCTATTCAGCCTAATGGTGACTATGTAAGCTCCAATTTAAATACATGAAAAGAGAGATATCATGACTTAACGCTCGTCGTGGAGGACATGCAGTGTTTCAAAACCAGACACTGCAATATAGCGGGATTGCTCAGTCTAAAGGCCTCAGAAAGGAGGCGAGACCACCCATTTAGCTATTCAGCCTAATGGTGACTATGTAAGCTCCAATTTAAATACATGAAAAGAGAGATATCATGACTTAACGCTCGTCGTGGAGGACATGCAGTGTTTCAAAACCAGACACTGCAATATAGCGGGATTGCTCAGTCTAAAGGCCTCAGAAAGGAGGCGAGACCACCCATTTAGCTATTCAGCCTAATGGTGACTATGTAAGCTCCAATTTAAATACATGAAAAGAGAGATATCATGACTTAACGCTCGTCGTGGAGGACATGTAGTGTTTCAAAACCAGACACTGCAATATAGCGGGATCGCTCAGTCTAAAGGCCTCAGGAAGGAGGCGAGACCACCCATTTAGCTATTCAGCCTAATGGTGACTATACAAGCTCCAATTTAAGTACATGAAAAGAGAGATATCATGACTTAACGCTCGTCGTGGAGGACATGCAGTGTTTCAAAACCTAACTGGTATTTTCAAAAACTTTCGTCCTAATTTCATAATTGATAATTCATTTGAAATGTTATAAAAATCTCAACTGGTTGCTATGGCTAGCTTCACAGGGAGAGCAGGTACTACCATAAATCCTCTATTATAGAAAGTCTAATTTATTTTCAGATACATCCTTTCTGAAGTTGTGGGGTCTTAATTGGGGGGGGGGGGGGCTAAGAAATTTGAACAAAGGAGGGGCTTATTTTAGAGGGATGGGGCTAAATAGAGGATTTAGAGTATTACATTACCATGAATTTCCAAAAGTAATTAAGAAAACAAACATTAATATAATAAACTTTCCCTCTTGAACATTTTTTCGAATGAATGTCTTACTTTTGGAAATCTACATGGTATTCACCTTCTAAATATAACCATGATATTTACACCTTCTAAGTATCATAATTTCAATTTGTTTTTGCACCTGCATTGGTATTAATAACTTTTGCAGATGCAAACTGAGACAAAGCACAAAGGAATGCAACAATTATTTTAAATTTTGCGTTTCTTTCAACTTTGTCAATAATTCTGGTGGTCAAAAACTGGTTCACTATATTTACGCCTATAGTAGACTACATAAGAATAAGAAAAAATATAGTAAGAATAAACACACCTTAACAGCACGACGTCTTCAGGCCACAGGAGTGTACGCCTAGAGGAAAGGTGCACATGTGAACCTAACTTAAGGCTAGGGGCCCCCGCATGCAATACACACAAAAAAAAACACAACCACCATAGATGAATCCACCAACAGCTCCTGTGGCCACACGACTTCCAAAAAAAAGAACTAATTTTTTATTACTAATGACATTGTATGTGTAAATTGTACACAACAAAAAACTGTAATATACATAAACTACCTATAGCTGAATAACTGCAAACTCTTCAATATTTTTAAGAGTCTAAAATGCTTTGTTTGAAAGTATAAATTCTTGTTTTAACAAATGCACAGTTACTTGCTCTTCATATAACAATATCATCTGAATATGTATTTTTAAACTATGAGCAGAAAAGAAAAGCTGGACTTATGGATTGAATGCTTTGCCAAGTAGATAAACCTGGTTTCCCACAAGAACAAGTGAACAGTTATTCAACTTTAAATTTAAACATTAGCATGCACGCATTGGTTCTATACACACTTTATTGTATAAAGTGGTATATAGCGCACTGCATGTTAATGTCTGACCACCAGAATTCTAACATCAGGGCCACTCACGGGCCAGTTATTCAAAGCCTGATTAGTGCTATAACCCTGGGTTAAATTTTAACCAGCTGTTTTTGTTTATCTACTTCTGCATGATTATTTGTTTCGAAACAAAAACCTCGAAATAAAACCTCTATTGAACCAGAAAAGATTTCTGGAAAAACATATTCAACTTGAAATTTAATGTGTAGATTTGTGTCAACTCATTAGCCTAACCGGCTTTTGAACAACCGAGCCCTGGTTGTTCAAAAGCCAATTAGCTTAACCCTAGGTTAACATAAAATTCAAAGCAACTTCCTCAGTAACAGCTTGTTTATCAATTTGGAAATATTTCTTTAGAAATATTGTCTCAGCCTGTATTCAGTAGGAGTTTTCTTCTCTGAAGTTCTGAAATAAGCAAATGTGCATATAAATACACAAACTAAAACAACGTGTTAAATTTTAACTGAGTGTTAGCACTAATCGAGTTTTGATAATCAGAGATTTGTACATTGAGATCAGTGCAACCTAAGCCACTATCTAACACGTCATCTGCTTCGGATCTGTGCAATCTAAAAAGTCAGAAAAAAATTTCGCTGATATAAATTCAGTATACTTGCCACCTCCAAAGCAATGAATTCATTCCTGCAGTGCTAATTAACCAAGCACTCATCGTCAACTCCTTCAGATTCACCACGTAGTATATTGTCCTCCATTATTCAGATTCACCAATAGTATTAAGACAAACCATTAACATTTGTTCTTTGATTATCATAACATCACCAGTATACTTGTCCTTGATAGCATAAATTGCAGTCTCTCTTCTATTCTCCATAAGAATCGTCAACAGAGACGTTCGATCACTCCATGTTCCACTGTCTTCACTTGTCTGTTGGCCATTCATCTTCTCGACTTTTATTCATTTCTACTTTGTATACATTTTTTACGAACTATGAAATTTTAAATTTTTTAAATGCCAAAAACTCTGAAATGAGAATATTTTGGTACATGAAGCATTAGAAAACAAGGGGGGGGGGGAGGTGTTTTTGAGGTCCTGTACCATCATCGATATACCTCTGCTTAATATTTTCTCATTAGATGTCGATACTATATCTACGGCTTGCCTTTCCTACATCTTCTTGGAGACGTGTACCATTCCGTATCTTCTGATCTTTTCATTCCATGTAACTATCTCTTGATTGTGTGATAAAAGCAACATGAGAATATTTTGGTGTATGAAGAATTAGAAAACAAGGATGGTGTTTTCTAGTTGAAGTTTTGTGCCATCATCTATGTACCTCTGCTTAATATGTTCTCATTCGATGTCAATACCATGTACGGCTTTGCCTCTCCTACATCTTCTTGGAGACGTGTACCATTCCGTATCTTCTGATCCTTTCATTCCATGTTCCAGGGGAAAGGGCGTTTTCTGGTTGAAGTTTTGTGCCATCATCTATGTATACCTCTGCTTGATACTTTTTCATTAAATCTCAATACCATCTACGACTTTCCTCTCCTACATTTTCTTGGAAACGTGTACCATTCCATATGTTCTGATCTTTTCATTCCACGTTCCAGGGGAGAGGGTGTTTTGTGCCATCATCTATGTACCATCTATGCATCTCTGCTTAATATTTTTTCATTAGATGTCAATACCATCTACGACTTGCCTGTCCTACATCTTCGTGGTTTACCAAACAAAAATCTTCCCGTTTTGCGTCATTGGTCGAACTTTGAGAAGGCTCTGACTGCGATGTTGTTTCTTCAACGGTTGCGGGTTCCTTCGTTTGAGCTTCTTCCAATAAATAAAGTTTTTGCACTGGTGTTATTCTAATTCCAGACTTCGTCTTCAATGTAACTGTACGAATAAGATTATCGGATCCTTGTGGACTTTTTCTACCAGTCCAAGCGGCCAGTTTCCCTCTCTTAACGTTGTCTTCAGAGATCAACACGACATCACCTTCTTTAATGGGTGACTTCTCGGACCACCACTTTTGTCGAACAGCTAACTTTGGTAGATACTCCGCAAGCCAGCGTTCGGTCCAAAATCGATTTAACACGTTTTGACGGTATAGAAAGCGAGAGGTAGTTGTGCTTTATCAGTCATTTCCTTTGGGACGTCTAGTATTTCTTTTAAACTCCTTCCCAGTGCCAAATGTGCGGGGGTAATAATCTGACCATCATCTATGTTGTTGCCAACAGACGTGAGCGGTCTTGAATTAATAACTGCTTCAATATCGGTCAAGATCGTGTAAATTTCGGTGTAGGTAAGAAGGGCTTTGCCAAGGATCTTCCGCAGACGTTCCTAGCCACGATGTGGACTTCGTTCTGTAATGAATTTCCATTTCATTCCTTTTGTAGCCATCTTTCTTTGAAGGCGTGACGAGTAAATCTTCTTCCATACGTGAGACAAATTTTGTTTCAAACAACCAAGTTATATCTTTGTTTGCTTTCTTGAACGTTGTTTGATTATCAGACCACATGATATTGCACGATCCTCTTCGATTATACATTCTTCAAAATGTTTGTAGAAATTCATTAGTCGTCATGTGATTCGTCAGTTCAAGGTGGACCATTCCGGTTGTCGCACACGAAAATATGCAAACATAAGCTTTCTGATGCAACACGTTTGATTTAACTTTGCTTGGGATCTTTAAGATAAGATGTCCTGTGAAATCGATTCTAACGTGTGAAAAGGCTGGTGACATGTTGAAACGTGTGTTCAGCAGGTAACGGTGCCATTTGTTGTTCTGGACACATTTTCGACAAATTAGGGACTGATGGATAACTCTTTGAACGGTTCGACGACCATGAATTGTCCAGAATCGTTCTCGGAGTATAGCAAGGGTGTTTCTGGGCCAGCATGACACGCCCTTTCCTTATGGGTATAAGCGACCAATTTCTCCACTACCGGATGCTTCGCCGGGAGAATTATTTGGTGCTTGGTTTCTTCAGGCAAACTGCAACCGACCTCCGACGCGAATTAAATCAAGTTCCTCATCAAACACTGGACACAAACTAAGCAACGGACTCTTCGCAGGTAAAGCTTACTCGGTTTTCAGGCAGTACCAATCTTCTGGGTAAACCTCTTTTTGCATTTCTTTATACCAATACAACTTAGCTTCTTCGAGGTGTTCGGCAGTAATCTTCGCACTGTTGTCGTGCTTAGTCGCTGAGTTAAAGGATATCATCTTGAACAGACAGACGACTTTTAACACCAGTGCTGTAACTCTGACCATCTGCATGCTTCAATACACGACGGTAACAACTTTGAGAATGCAACGTTACACTTCTTATCTGCTTGGACTCTGGTAGATCATCACTTTCTTCACTAAGCACCTCAGTAGGCCACTTCTCCATGAATTCGCAAAGCCACTCAGGACCATGCCACCAAACGGAATTATTTGTTAAAGATTGTAATGATTGTCCACGAGTCAAAAGATCAGCTGGATTTGATTCTCCAGGACAGAACCTCCAATGTACTGGTGCTACGTTTTCTTGAATTGTTTGCAATCGGTTTACCACAAATGGCTTCCAACTGTAACTAAGTCGACGGATCCATCCTAAAGTCACCATGCTGTCCGACCAGCAAAAGTATTGCATAATCTTCGTTTTCAGCGAGTTTAAGACAAACTGGACTAATTTCGACATCAATTCTAATCTGGGAAGCATTACTCGTCTCGTAGGAGCCACTCTACTCTTTGCTATCAAAATGTGTACCACCACGTTTCCCATGCAGTCTTGAAGACGTAAATAACTAACAGCTCCATATGCCTTTGGGCTTGCATCACTGAATCCATATAGCTGGACATCTACCACGTTGTGTATTGCGGTAGAGAACAAACACGGACGTTTTCCAATTCTTTGAGCTCTAACTTCCATCTTCTTCACTGTTCTTTGATATCTTGCGTCAAGGGTGCGTCCCATGTAAAGCCACGTAACCACACTTCTTGATACAGAATCATTGCTCGAATGGTAAATGGATCAATAAATCTCAAAGGGTCAAAGAGCTTCGAAGATATACTTACGAGACTTCTTTTAGTTTTGGGATCGGAAAGTTCAAATAACTTATTTCCTTGATGAAATAAGAATACGTCTTCTTCGGTATCCCAGGAAAGACCCAAGGAATTTAGAGGTTCTGAATCGCTGTCAAGACAAACTATACGTTCAGGAACTCTTTGGTCGCTGGGAATACGGGACCGTAGTTGACTTGAGTTCGTTGACCACTTGACTAAGTCAAACCCACCGATCTTCATCAAATTGGCCAAGTCTTGGTAAAGGGTAAATGCACTTTCTTCGTTATTTGTTCCAGCTAAACAATCGTCAACGTACGTGTCTTCTTTAATAATCTTTGCGCATGCTTCTGGAAACTTGTCACCGTTTGCTTCTGCATCATGATGTATCGTAGCAATCGCCAAATAAGGGGTTCATATGTCTCCAAACGGTAGTCTCGTCATCTAGTAATTCTTTACAACTTTAGTTGGATCCATATTTCTTCACAGGAAACGGTGAACATTCTGATCCTTTAACGCCACTTTAACTTGCAAAAACATTTTCCACACGTCTGCCATCATAGTAACACGATATCTTTTCTAAATACAGGATGATACAGTAAATATTGTATTTTCTCTGATTGATCATCGTCGATTGTCGTTTCGATTCTTTATACATCACTAATTGTTCTCGATTCCTTTTCAATCTTGCTTCGACATTAACGAGTCGCTTCATCGCTATCTTTCGATTGTAAACTAACTTTGGACAATTCGTTTTCCTCGGCAGTTCTACTTCGTATCTTTCTCCATCGAAATTCACGCTTTCCTGGAACTGATGTACCACGTATTTTTCATCTTGAGACATTTCCTGATCATCCATTATGCAGAGCTAGAGATTCCAATTGCCAAAACCTTTTCAAACTAAGGCGGTGATCGTCTTCCAGGATCTTGGTTGTGGCGTGGTGTGTAAAGGCGCTACGAGATTCAGGACGCTCAACTCCAGTGGGTCCGGAAAGAAGCCAACCAAGTACCGAGTTCACAGCCATTGGACTCGTTGGACCTCCTCTCTTAATGCCACTCTTCATAGTTTGCGACCATTGGTCTGCACCAATTAGGATGTCGATCGTCGCTCCACTTCGTGAATCTGTGTCTGCCAATGCTAAGCCTTTCAAGTGTGGATATTGTTTCAAGTTTACGACTGCAGATTCTGGTGGTGAACAAACTGTAGGAACTGACCAGGCATCGAGGGTGTAATGTGATGCAATTAATATTAACTATTACTAATGACGGAACCATGTGTATATAAACTAAGGCGATTGATGTTAAACTCTCTTTCAAACCTTACTTCAGAGGGTAACGTTCGTTCTTTGGTTACGTGTTGACAATTGGAAATTGGCTCTTTTCACTCTAGCTGTCCTGGATTGTCCACCATGTTTTACCATTGCTGTAGGAAGTAACATCACTTGATTATCAATTGAAGTCGACAAATAACCATTTGCAATTCCGGTAAGGCTGCTGGTGATTTCGTCACTTGTGATATGTTTCTTTGCATCGTGATTTCCTGCTTGTGGGTCTTTAACCTTCGAGGGGGAGCTAACGGTGTAGTAGACCGTGGTGCTTTCTCTTGCATCCTTCTACAGATCATCTGGGGCGTTTACAATTATAATACCGTAATGATACGACGTCGTTGGCGAAAGACAGTTAAAACAAAGTCCTTTGTCTTTAACAATTTCTAATCTTTCATCATCCGACTTTCTTGTAAATAGGTAACAACTTGATATATGCTGCCTTTTGCCATAGTTAGCACATTGCAGTTCACCAGACAATTTGGAACTGTCGTCGTCTTTAGAATTTGAATTCAAGGCTGTAGCTGAGTAAGGCTGTTGGCTGTTTTCTTCTTCTCTTTCCCAATTTCTTCGCCAACATTTTCGGTTTAGTTATTGACTTCTCAGTTGCCTCTTCCGACAAAACATGGGATCTTAGGAAGACAAACAGATACTCCACAGTGACTTTGCGATCGTCTTCTTCGTTTTCAAGCATGGACAGTTAAAACTCCCATTTTCGACGAATCTCATCTGGAAATTTCGACTGGAGAATTGGAACCAAAATCCGTTGAGCTTCCGCGAGCTTTGGTTCATAGGATTCCAAAGTTCGGTATCGACTGACCATTACATCATACAAATTTCTTATTGAACGAGCTTCGACTTTATCTTTGTTCTCAATGTTTAGCAAGGATTCCACCAATTGTTCTATTAGATTCCACCAATTAAAATTTTTTTTGGAGCGTCTCAATAGCTTTAGGGTAGTTGTCGCCAGATACTTCGAAGTATTCGATTGCCCTTCTCGCCTTTAACACATACACTCGTAGATAATTAAGGCTATCACGATCGGTCACTGCCTCGTTTTCATGAATGCAGATTTTATTTTGATCCCACCAAGAGACCCATTCTAGAATATTTCCGGTGAACTAACTCAACGTAAACTTCGGAAGTCGTAACTGACTCGATACTGGATTGGAGTGGCTCGTAGTGGAAAATTGATTTTTTGTATCTTCTGCTTCTGATTGTAAGGAAATTTGTTGCTCTGCCAAACATCGTAATTTCCAAAATTTCTTGTTGAAATAACGCCCACTTTCGAACTTCGTCATTTATAGATTCTTCATTCGGGAGAATAGCTATCAGTTGTTGAACAATACACTGTATTCTTTCTCTAATGAACTCAAACGTTCCAGTGCTTTATCCAGCTGCCTTGTCATCGGTCTTTAACTTGTGCATTTCGTGCACGAGTACTCCATCTGGCGGCGAAAGTAATTAGTAAGCAAAATTTATGACGTCACTTCGTTCAGATAGCATCGGCTCTGGCAGCGAAAATAATTAGTATGCAACGTCACAATAGCTTCACGTAACCAAGTCGCGTTACCATTAGGTTGCTTTACATGGTTACGTTACCTGTCACAGAACTTGGTCATGTCACCATACGTCACAATAGCGTCCCGTTACCAAGTCACGTTACCATTAGGTTGCGTTACATGGTCATGTTACCTGTCACAGAATTTAGTGACGTTATCATATGTCACATTAGGTTACATTAGGGGAACAGATATTTGCATAAATAGGCATATCATACCTTTACGTATTTGAGGTGAGCATAATTTATTTGATTTTTATGTCAAGTAAACTGTAAAGCCTTGGTGGTCAAAATGCATTGGAGTTTGTCCCAAAATAATGGGATGGCAGAAAATAACCTTAGCCGTATCTTCGCTCGGAAAAGATAAATTTCCACAGGCATTTTGAAGATTTTTTCGCGTGATTAAAATACCTACTTGCGATAGCTCAGTTGGTAGAGCGAAGGACTGTAAGTTCCTTAGGTCGTTAGTTCGAACCCAGCTCGTAAGATTTAACAAGCAGGCGTTCTTTTTGGCGAGTGGGAAAACATCAGCGGGAGTCGTGGTAACGTGGACCTGAAAATTGGGTGCGTGGCTTTGCGAGCAAAAATTTCCACAAGAATTTAGATTTAAAACACATTTATTGTTGGATCGGAAAGCTAGATTAAGACATCAAGGTTAAAGGAGCTGTTTTGAGTAATAAATTTCCAAGCAGAAATAAAAATCGATACATATTTCAAACAGAACATAGCAGTTGCTAAGTTAACATGGTTTTCAATGTCGTTGTTATGGTCGATATTTGCATATTACAGAGTCATTAAAAGTGATTAACCTGCCCACCCCATGTGGATATATACAATGTTTTATTTCACAAGGCGAAATATAAGGGAACATATTTTCGTTATGGTTAGTATAGGTTGTGGGTTTTGTAAGATGTATCAAAATTTTGTCTTGTTGATATCGAGAATGTGTGCTGCTAAAGTCATTAACGATCTTTCAAGGATTACAAGCTAAAATTTAATCTCTGAAAGTTTATTGTGGATAGATTGGGATTATTTACTACGCGGGCGTAGACCTTAAAATGGGGCGCGTGGCTTTGCGGGCATAAATTTAGATTTAAAACGCATTTATTTCTTCAAAACGTTTACAAAGTTATGCTTCTAATATATATCATCACTTGTTTGAAACGTTTCACTATCGAAATACTGTATGATATATGCCATAAGATATTGCATGATATCCTAAGATACTGTATGGCATCCTAAGATGTTGTACGATATCCAAAGATACTGTATGATATCCTAAGATACAGCATGATATCATCGACTATAGTCTTAATGGTCATGACCATAATAGTAATGACTGACTATGGTCTTAATAGACTATAGTCTTAATAGACTATAGTCTTAATAGACATGACTACGTTCTTAATGGTTATGACTAAGTAACGACTATAATCTTAATAGTAATGACTATAGTCTCAATAGTCATGACTATAGTCTTAGTAGTCATGACAATGTTCTTAATGGTCATGACTATAGTCTTACAGTCATAACTATATTCTTAATAGTCATGACCATAGTCTTAATGGCCATGACTATAGTCTTAATAGTCATGACGATGTTCTTAATGGTCATGACTATAGTCTTAATAGTCATAACTATATTCTTAATGGTCATGACTATAGTCTTCATACTCATGACGGTAGTCTTTACAGTCATGACCATAGTCTTAATGGCCATGACTATAGTCTTAATAGTCATGACTATAGTCTAAATAGTCATGACTATAGTCTTAATTTTCATGACTATAGTTTCAATAGTCATGACTATAGTCTTAATAGTCATGACTATAGTCTAAATAGTCATGACTATAGTCTTAATGGTCATGACTATATAGTCTTAATAGTCTTACATGACTATTAAGACTATAGTCATGACCATTATGAACATAGTCATGGCTATTAAGATTGTAGTCAATGTATCTTAGGATATGATCCAGTATCTTAGGATATCATACAATATCTTAGGATGTCATACAGTATCTTAGGATATCATGCAATACCTTATCGCATCATACAGTATTTCGATAGTGAAACGTCTCAAACAAGTGACGATATATATTAGAAGCATAACTCTGTAAACGTTTTGAAGAAATAAATGCGTTTTAAATTTACAGTTATGCCCGAAAAGCCACTCGCCTCATTTTAAGGTCTACGCCCGCGTAATAAATAATCCCTATCTATCCATAATAAACTTAAGAGATTAGCTTGTAATCCTTGAAAGAACGTTAATGACTTTAGCAGCGCACATTTTCGATGTCAAGAAGACAAAATTTTGATATCTTACAAAACCCACAACCTATACTAACCATAACGAGAATATGTTCCCCCTTATATTTCGCCTGGTGAAATAAAACATTGTATATATATATATATATATATATATATATATATATATATATATATATATATATATATATATATATATATATATATATATATATATATATATATATATATATATATATATATAACTTGTTTTGTTATATTTATATCTTAAAATTAATGACTATGATACTATACTATTATTATTATTATTACTATTATTATTATTATTACTATTATTATTATACTATGATATGATACTATACTATACTATACTATCATACTATTAATGACTATGATACTTTTCTTAATTTTAAGATATAAATATATATATATATATATATATATATATATATATATATATATATATATATATATATATATATATATATATATATATATATATATATATATATATATATATATATATATATATATATACAAATGAGGTGGGCAGGTTAATCACTTTTAAGTGACTCTGTAATATGCAAATATATCGACCATAACAACGACATTGAAAACCATGTTAACTTAGCAATTTCTACGTTCTGTTTGAAATGTGTCGATTTTTATTTCTGCTTGGAAATTTATTACTCAAAACAGCTCCTAT